GCACTGTATGCTTTAAATATACAGTACCATGCTCAGTGCATCGTTCCATCCAGCCAATCCCTCTCTGTTCCTCTCAGTCTGTGTGAGGAACCTCAACTGATCCCTCTCTTCTCTTTCATGCAGCGTGGCAGCCTGGACGTTCCTAGCCCACAGTCATGGTAACTATTCAACACTTTGTCTTTGTTAGCTCCACTTCCTCACTGCTGCTCCCTTCAAGTGATTGTGTGCAAAACTGAAACAGGCCCTTTTCTCCCCCTCTATCAGCCTCTCTTAACCCCCTCTGCCACCACCACTTTTTCCTCCTGTCTTTTCTTTTAAAAAAAGTATCTCAGATACTCTCTGCTCCTCATCTATTTGCTTGCTTTTTCACAGTTTCCCAACGTTTTTTCCTATGGCCGGCCCCCTCATTTACCCCATTGCATACAGCAGATTACACACACCCACACACACACACACACACACACACACTGGGTTCTCACACACACTTCCATCCAAACTACATCCTGCCTTTTGTGAGTAGACAAGAGCCCTTTGTTAGTGGGAACACACAGCCTGCATTACTACTGCACGAATTTCTGCAGCTCCCCTCATGTATCAGGATGCACACAGCATTACAAGTACAGTGCATGGCTGATGGGGGGTTGCCAGGTTGGTGCTATATGGAACAACTATAAAGCTTTTAAGGGATATTATTGATCACTCAGTACCTGCATCCAAGTTTAAAAAATGTTTGAATGTTCAAAGAGGAGGCTCCTCAAAAACTGATCTGTGCAGGCTGTGGCAGGTAGAATGTAAATAACAAACGGCTCACTGTCTGGGGTAGTTTTGACTAACGTGTTCTTACAAGTAAATGTAAGCATACCATATGCATACATCAATGCACACATGCAAAGCACATGGCACACACACACTGACTGACAGGTTTTAGTACTGAGGGCTAGTACTAAGATTCATATTTTTCCTAATTACCTCTACTAAGGAGGTTATGTTTTTGGTTCAGTTTGTCTGTTTGCCAGTTGTGTTAAAGAAAAACTACTGGTTTTTACTGGTTTTTACTAGTTTTATGAAACTTGGTTAAAGGGTGCTGCATGGGCCAAGGGAAAAAAAAACATTACTTTCTTGAGCAGATCTGAATCACCAGGCATAGGGTTTGGCTGATAGACGTTGCCATCATCCATCGCTGATGGCTGTCAGTCATCAATCAGTGAGCCTGACATTTTGATCATGACCCGTGTTTTTTGTAACTTTGTAACTTTTGTAACTTGTTACAAAATACGTTACAGTGATATATAATATTATAGCAGTAACAAAGTAATATAACTTGTTACCAACAGCATTTCGGGTAATATTATTACATTTACAATGTTACATAATGCGTTACCACCTGAAATAAAATGTTTATGGTTTTCATTTTTCATTTATCCACACAGATCCACACCATTCAACTTCTGCCAGTGCGCCACCAAAAAGAATATCCCTCTGAAGGTTACTGTGTAATTATGTCATTACAGACTACATTATAGAAGGGTCCCGGTTATCAACACATCTGGACATATGCTGGACTGTGCGTTATCATGTTCAGTGTGTTTCCATTTATACACCAGTAATGTCTACAGTGTATCCCATACTGCTTTTGCATCTTAATGCTGCCAGAAAGCAGCAGGGAAAAGGAGCTGGCCTCCGGTTTGTTTTTTTCCTCGTCCTGGTGATTGGCACATCTGGGTGATGTTAGTACATGTTGGATGTGTTTCCATTCACATCCCCTAAAACTGCAGAGCAACGCCGGCACACAGTCCTGTTCTTATGCATAAGTCTCTCTCTGGTTCTGTTGTAGCTGACCACAGCACACTGGGAACTGGCAGGTGGGTCTTCCACCTCTGATGTATTAATTTGCACTAGTCATAATGACTAATCAGCATGCCATTCTGTTTGTTGTGCTAACCTAAACATTTGTTTATTGTGTTTCATATCATAGACCCACAAATATTTATCTGTATCTCATAAGTTACAGACTTTGATCCTCCGCCTGACCGTCACTGTGTCCAGGGCTTTTCATTTATTTAGGGGGGTCTAGGCTTTTAAATGGTTCTTCTTCATCAGGCTATTATTAATACAAGCAGGGGATTTTTATTATTATTACGTTATTTAATACAAAGTGGTAACCACTGTATGTGAATACATGAATGGGCCAGACCTGCGCAGCACTGGATTTGTAATGCTTCTGTGCTTTGATTACCTGCTGTGAAACAATATGACACTTATTCATTTAAAATGAACATTAGTTCTTCTGAGCTCATTATGGTCAAAGTAATACAAAAGTAGTGTAATAAGTAACTTATTACTCTACACAGAGAGTAATATTGTAAAGTTTTGGGTGCTTAAAAAGTAACAGTTCGTATTTACTAGGGAAAACAGTCCTCAGTAAAATATTGAACTGTCTGACCCTGCACGGATCAATATGCCCTCATGGACCGCGGGTTTTCAGTTTTGCAATTAATTTTGCATTGATGCTTTACAGGCCACTTTGTGTGTGTGTGTGTGTGTGTGTGTGTGTGTGTGCCTATCCACAGGCTGAGTCCATGGATGTATAAAGATAATGGCCGAGTCAGCCTGCTGCACAAAAGCCCTCCCTGCGAGTTAATGTCCAATTACTGTTGTGGCTCCGCCCACTCACCCCCTCACACTGTTGTGACTGGAGCCGCGGAAAGTGACGCTCGCCTCACACTAAAAGAAGCAGAAAAAACAAACATAGAGAGCCATGGCAAAGCCAAGCGTAGGAGTTGAGAGACAGAAGTTTGAAGTAGCACCAGCTTATACAAATCTCCGGTGTGGGATCATTTCGGTTTCACTGTTGATGTCTAGTGTTTCCCCTACCATTATATTAGGGGGGCACCCTGCCCCGTACCTTGTCCTTTTATTAAACAAACTAAATAGCCTTATGGTTTTTTTGTTGTTTTTTTTTTTATTTACACGCACACACACACACACACACACACACACACACACACACAGGTGAGCACACAAGAGTGCGGCCCGGGCCGCACTTTCCTGACCGACAATTATAACCAAGCCAGTCTATGAATAGCAATGAAATAATGAGTATAAGCTTGCAAAATGAGAGGAGCTGCTGATTCTTGAAGTATGTTCAATCAATAACAAGTAAAAACAAAACAAAAAAAGAAACACCAATTTAAAAACATCAGTATTGGCAGTTGGTCAAATTGTTATTCTAAACATCAGTATCAGCCCAGAATTTTAAATTTGTTGCATCCCTAGTTCAAAATGAATTTGTACATTTTATTATTATTTTACAATGTCATATATATTATTGTTTATTCTTCTGAAGAAGTTCATTTGTAAATCTTTTTATTGATTATGATTTATATGATAATATAAGTACAACATGTTACTGAAAGCAAATTAGCACATATTGTTATACATTTTTTTACTGTTAGTTAGGTTGTTTATTTGCATTTTGGTCATAAACGTACAGTACTTTGACTGCTGAGCTGCAACAAACAGCATTTTTTTCGGAAACTTTAGAAACGTTGGTGTGATACGTATGAAATTTGCAAATGAAAGGTATTCACGGTTTGCAGAAACTTACAATGACAACATTTTGTTCTGGTGACAGGACAGCTTACACAATCCTGTTTGTTTGTCCAGTCCAGTGGTTTAAGAGAACATGGCTGAGGAAGTGAAACACTACACATATTTTACCAGTTTGAGTCTCACTGGCTGACCTGATGTCCTCAGGAAAATAGCCAACTCAACTCTGGCAACTCTGGGCTTAATTCACACTCCATCACACACACACACACACACACTTTCAGACTGGTGAATGTAAAAAAGAACCTTACTTTACTGAGCAAAGAAATTGCCTCACTGATGGAGACGCCTGAGTTCTCTCCATTACACAGCAGGTTCCAAATTAGATCTTGCTGCTTTATACTAAGCATACACAAATACACACACACGCACACACACACACTCATACTGCCCCAGCAACTGCACAGCTGTCGAGTCTCACCATGAAGTGCCCATGTTGTGCCCATGTAACTGCAGCCCACATGCTCCGTCCCAGATTTAGTTTAACCCCCCCTCCCCCCCAAATAACAAAAAACACCCAGCTATTCTTGCAAAGATATCTCACTGCCTGACACCAAGTATGATAGTGCAAGCAAACCTGTTTATATTGCATCTGCATCACATCATTCCATTTAACACTTCTGAGGCTGCATAACAGCCTTTAAGATCTCTTCAGCTCCAGGGCTGAGTGAAAAGAAAACACTCTGATTGGTTGTGCTCTGCTTTTCTATTACGGATCCTTGGATAACTGTGAGCGTCCTGTCTCGTTGCTTCTTGCTCCACAAACAGAGAACCAGTAAAGCCTTGCTTGCATGGTAATGAACCCTATTAAGAATAATGACATTCATATGGTTATATGGTCTCTAAATTTTTAGTTGCTTGGAGCTTTGGGAGGGTGAGGGATGGGTCTGACTCTCAAGACCCTTGAGGTCCCCTCACCAGTGCTATTACATGACCCTCAGAGCAACAGATCAGTTCAAGTGTCAGTTAAAATTTGCACCAGCATTGGTTCTATTAAGCAACATGACACTATGCACAGCACATACACATGCCCCACTGGCATATAATTACTGCAGCCTCCAAACTGGCTACACTAACAAATGGGCGTTAAGCCATTTTAAATCAAGCTGTTGCACACTGAAGTCTGCTGTTTTTGCCCAGTCCTGCAGATAAACAAACCTTTAAACCGGCTTTACATAACCAGTCATAAATAAGAGTCTAACCTGGTGAGATAACAAACGCATAAACATAAAAAGCTTCAGTGTTCAGTTCTAGTCATTATGAAGGGGCAGAGATGATTTTATCTGTGAGCTGAATGCTTGATGTTGTCATCCAGCAGCCTGTATGTTCCAATGCACAAAGCAATACAATCATTCATTCAGTCGGTTCACACTTCCCTCACCAGTACCCACCTCCATCCACAGCCCTGCCAATTGCAGGCGAAAGGCTTTTCCCCCGTGTGCCTCCTCAGGTGGGCCTTCAGATGGCTGCTCTTGGTGTACATCTTGGTGCAGCCAGGAAAAGTGCATTTGTGCATTTTGATAAGATCCGCCACTGGGTTCTTCTGGAACTTTTGACCTCCAACAAGAATCCCTGATCCCTGGCTGGCTGAGTTATCCCCAAGCCCGTGAGGCTTGGCTGCAATGGGGACAGGAGCAATGCGTACAAACTTGGAGGAGATATTAAGGCTGGGGGAGGGCAGGATGTGGGGCACCAGGGCAAAGGTCTGGCCTTGGATGTTGACCAGTAGCTGTGCAATTTTGATGTCTGAGGCTGAGGGAGGCGGCAGGGGCTGGGCTACCGAGGTGAGAGGTGCTACTGTTGGCTCCTGCTTGATGTGAAGGGGCTGAATCTGTAGGATAACCGGCATTCCACTGCTGTTTGTGCTACTGTCTGCTGGTGAGGGTTTGTTGGCTGATGCCTTCTTGGCCTCTGTGCTGGATTCATGTGCGGGGTTAACTGATGTAGTTTTGGTCTCACTGGAGGCAGCAGTGGCCAGGCCAGCAGTGCTAGCAGTGGGGACGGTTTGGTCTGAATACTTTGCCTCTGGCTCCAGCTTAGGCTCAGGGGAGGTGTCCCTGCACCACTCCAAACCAACTTCTAGACCAAGAGCTTCCTCCAATCCCACTCCCATCTCCGCACAACCCTCTCTGATCTCCTGCTTCATCGTTACCACGTCCATATTCTCCTCCAGAAATTCCTCAATCTCTTCCAGTGTAGGCTGAAAAGACCCTCCAAGTTGTTCCTCTGTCTCCACATTGGACCATGTTAGGAAGTCAAAATTTTCCTCCTTTACAGTCTCGCGTTTTGAGGGCTCATCTCTCCGTGATTCCCAGAAAAAAGTGGATAAGGGTATAGGTGCCACAGAGCCTGCCAGCACACTGTTGGCACCACCTAAGGAGGCCTTGGACAGCAAATGATCCAGGATGCTGTCCTGGCTCTCAGCACTAGAGTTGCTGCCGTAACTGGAGCTGAGCACCTGGGAGTCCGGGCTGGAACAGGACCGAGGGCTGGATGACTCGCTCAGGTCGTCCTCAGAAAAAGGCGACGGCATCACCTGGTAGGAGCTCAGGTCTGTCACCATGTCAGACAGCTGGTAGGCCTGTGGAGAGCCACTGTAAGGAAGACAAGTCCCCTCGCTTACTGGGGAGTTATCTACCATCCCTGGATAGTGCCAAATGGCTGTCTCCTGTTGGACTCGGAGTCTGTATTTAGGAGGATTTGTGAGATAATTAGTCCTTGTGCTACTGGGAATGCTGGGCCAAACAAACCCAGGTCACCAAGGCCACACTTCCCACTGCAGTGAGATAGTGAAACACCTGGTGTACTCCCTCGGGGTGGAAAAAGTGGGGGAGAAACAGTCCTACAATCCAAGGTCTCCAGCCAAGATTGACTTTGTCTAAACAGAAATAAAGAGAGACAGTAAGAAGTATGTTAATCTTAATCCCACACATGCACACTGCTAAATTTCAAAAGACTAAAAAGGTGAAGATTTAGTGATGTCTAGCGGGGAATTGCAAATTGCAACCATCTAATACTCCTCCCAGTGAGCATTTCTTGAGTGTTTATTGCTCAGGAGGTTTTTACCAGGAACTGAATTATCCGCAGAGGTCTCCGAAACAAATGGACCCGGTGATTTAAACCAGTATAAACACTGAATAAAGCAGTTTCAAGTTACAAATCAGTGTATCTCCAACACTGTTTGGCATGTCAGCTTGTCCACCCCCTGCTAATGTGTGTTCATTATTTTTCTTAAGATCCAAACATTCAGGAGATTTTTACTGGGAGCTGAATTATCCACAGAGATCTCTTCCTCTCCATAACAGACATACCAGGGGATCAAAACTGGTATAAATGCTGAATAACGCAGTTTCACTTTACAAACCAGTGTAACTTTGGCAACGCTTTTGTTAACGTTCCTGCACTGGTTGTGGCGTCCAGGAACATCACCAGCAGACACAGGAGGATACCTTGTACGTAATACGTAGACATGAAAGGCCACTGACAGAGGTGCGATATGTAAGGACTTCGGATGAGAACGTGTTGGAATGTCCCTATCTGGAACCAGTGTTTGGTTTGTCCTTTATGGGCTACTGTAGAAACATGGTAGTGCAATATGGCGATCTCCATAAATGTGGACCTGTTCCCCATGTAGGTATCAACGGCTTATTGTAAGGTAACAAAAACACTATTCTTATTATCAGGTCACTCTACACTTAAACATGCTGGCGGTATGAAATGCTGTTGGTCTGCGTACACTGATGATGGCTCTTTAAAGGAAACACATCTGTTTCTATGCATTTTTGTAGAGATGTGCGATATTGGATTTTTTGCAGATATCTGATGATACATAACAACTCATTTGGCCGATAAACAAAACCAATATCAATCCACTTTTTGCCCACCTAAGTTTGGTGATCATCAAGTCTCTTCTTTAGTGGGACTAACACCATGTTATGCGTGCATACTCCTATCATGTTGGCCCACCAGCAGATGGAGACATGAAATGAAATACTTTTGTTGATTGATTCTCTTTAAAGCCATTATCAGCCGATACCAATGACGTGCCGATATTATTGTGCATCCCTACATGTTTGCCCATTTTAAATAAGTGAAATTTTCTGAGTGCTGGTATTCTAATTGTTTGCAGATTCTCGCCACAACCGTGCACCTCCACAGTCTAAGATTTTTGGAGCTGCGCCAACTTCTGTTTTTCATCACATTCTACACCAAAGAGAACCTATTTATTATTCCATTTCTGCCAATATGCCCCCCTAAATCCTACACACTGGACTTTAAATGTAAGAGGATACATCATCATATGTGAAATGAAAATCATTCTCACCCTACTCTCGACCCCCCCCCCGTCCAGGGGCCCCTACACGGTCTGACTGACCGACAGTAAACCCGGCCAGAGGAAGAAAAAAAAAAATTATAAGACGACACCGCATGAGGGAGCAGTGTGTGTAAATCACCAGCTCTGCTTGTTTACGATACACTTAAAGGGCAGCAAATCCGTCACATCGCCGCCTCTGAAGTTCGAATGTCGAACATTGTATACATTGGTCATCAGAGTTATCAAGAGTGCAGGCTGGTGTTAGTGTCGCCTCCTACGGGCACATTTTGATTCATTTCACATGTTCACAGAGAGGAAAGCACTGTTTTTATTACTGAATTACACATTCTTACACAGTCGGGGCCTTGCGTTTCTTATTACAATGTCCACAAAACGTGATATTTTTAAAAGCACAATAACAATAATTACAATTATCCATTAACTGTTCGGCACCAGTAGATTTTGCAGGCAAGGTGGATCAGAGAACTTAGAAATCCCGTCACATGCGTAGCTGCAAACCAAAACACATTCATTTACATTCTGCTGTTAAACTGCAGCAAGCCCTCCAATATAAACAGTCCACAACATCTGACTGTGCGCCGTGTTTTTCTGTCCCCTCCCGCGCTGCATAACGCATGAGTAGGCGCGCGTCTCCGCTCTCAACGTAAACATGTTTTCGTCCAGCCTGCAGCATATGGCACCGAGCAGACACACGCGCACCCTGCACCCCCTAGCCCACTATTACATAAAACAAACCTCCGGTCTTACCTTGTTCAATCAAAGCAAATATAATCCCAAATCAAAAGGCGCAAGGAGGATTGTTTTTATCTGTAGCATCCGACGTGGCAGTGTGTTGCCAGAGCAGGTTTTGCCCTTGAGACTCGCCATGCAGTGCAGCAGCACCGTTCAGACTGGACTGTGCGCCGACTGAGTTGTACTATATGACCGTCACATGACTGCCAGTGTGTGTTACAGGGTTACTGTAGTGAGAAATAAGAGGCTGCTGCTGAAGGCTCGTCCCCGCTCTGCGGCCTCATTGGTCGGTTTTGGTGGGATGGAGGCGGGTCCGTCTGGGCTGTCACTCAGAGGCTCTGCTGCGTGGACCAACATGTGGAACGCCTCGGTGAAGGCAGCTGAGCTCAAACCTGTTTTCGTGTTAAAGAACAACCACAAGAGATATAAATAAAGTGTGTCAGATGGATTCAGGGATTCGTGTTTTTCTTAGCAGAAATACAGTTTAAAGGGGCTCTATATGAAATTCAAAGTATGAGTTGTCTACACATGGTTCTCAACAGGGGCGTTGCCAGCATTTGAGGACATCCGGGGCTTAGCCCAGACAATTTTAAGAGTTGGGGGAAAATCAAGGATTATTACAAATAGGGCAATATGACCGAGTATTACCAATCAAGCACTTCAAAACTCAATGAGACAGATCATTTAATGTCATCTGATTTTGTACTGAAACACTCAAAAACTCAATGAGACAGATCATTAGTTAGCTAAATTTGTAAAGGTAATCTTAATTTTGTTGCATACTCTCAATGGGTACTCATCGGTGGCCGTTTTATAATGAATGCAAAGCCACAGTTCTTGTGACAATACACCAGGATGCAGATTTTAGTTAGTTTTAGTTTATAAGAGCTCAGTTGCATACGTGCATATGTACCACACTAAAACACCTTATTACTATAGCATAAAGTCAAAGGAAGTCAGAAAAGCCCATATATTAATAGTGTGAGATTTCAGGATTTTAGAGAAATATTATTTAATTGCTTTACATATCCACAGATGAATGCATCTTAATAAAAAAGGTAAAATATCTTGTGAGAACTGTATGCATCTTCCGGCACCTGCTCCCCTTGTTGCTGCCTCACTTCTTCCACCAGAAAGCTACTGGAGAGAGTAAAAGAGACAGTGTCAGCGAAATTAACATCCAAATTAATAACAGCATTAGACTTGAGCATGAGCTTCTCCTTATGGCCACCCACTTTTGCAGTGAATGAAATACTGTGGGGGTGAGCTAGCTAGCATGGCTCAGGCTGCAACAACTTACCCGGTCCCATGCCAGATTCTGACTCGGCTGCTACTCCTCCTATGGCTCCTATAGCTCCCCCATCTGCAGGTCATCTTGGCTGCCATCTACAAAATCATGAAATCAAGTTGAAGTACGTGGACAAACCAATACCTCAAGAACTCACGTGTGTGTTGATCCAAACTAGAGCAGTACAGAAAATGTAAAATGCATGGAGAGCATTGAAGATATTTGGAATATTTTGACTCAATGACTTTCTTAAACATAAAAAAACACACAAAATTACTGTTACCTGTTTCCATAATTGAAGCTGATTCAGCAGCTGCTGCAGCTTCTGGCTCCTCACTCCATGCTTCTTCCCGCTACATGACAATGAGAGATTGATGTGTATTAACAACAAACCAATGACACAAAAAACAAATCCACACTCAAGTGAAACACTGAAAAAGCTGAGTGCCACAACCTCTGCGACATGAGTCGTTTCACTACCAGTTTTTGATCCTTCAGTCCAATAATATTTGGAAAGTGTCGAGGAGCTGACAGATTACTACATTTTTTTATCCCCCTTCAATGTAGTGAAGCACTAAATGTTAAGTTAGCTGTTTGGCCTGCAAATGTTTGCTGCTCAGTCACACTTGGCAAAGCTCAGCCATCATAAGTCTCTAGTGTGCTAGCTTTATGGGCCGCACAGTGTGGAAGTAGTGTCAGTAATCCACCAGTAACCAGTAAAACAGAGCAAGGCGCTGCCTTCCAGAGTGGGTGATATGCAGTAGTGGTGTAAGTACCTGGCTTAAACCAGGATATATGGCACATTTCTTAACTTCTACCACTCAATACCAACACATTATTATCATTACCAGTCCTCATTTTTGCTGCATTTAATCGTAGGTCACTGTTTATGTTGTTAGGTAGGAGTTAGCTGACGTTTTTTCTAGCTAGGAAACGTTACAGGTGGTCATTACCACTGTCCTCTGTTTGAATTGGAATGAGAGAAGCTAGCTGTTGTGTCATGTGCACGTGTTAATATTAAAGCCAAGGTGCTACTGATTAGCTAACTGACTGGATGCCCATTAACATTATAACTCCTATTGTGTGTATTTATTATTATTGTGTTGTAGATTTCAAGCACTTTTCTTTTTTGAAGTATATTTTTATTTATGTATTTGTATTATATAATACAGACAAGAAGGAAAAAGGCAGAGACAAACATTGAAAAAGTCAATTACTGTGTTAATGTTACATGTTGTGCACTGCATTTCAAATAAAAGTCCAAAAAATAAGTCCAAGGTCCATTTTTGGTATTTTTGGTACTCACTATAGGGGGCTGGTTTACTCCAGAAACATACATACTGTTTATGTGTATGTTGAGGAGCTGCTGTATCAAAATGAGTTGTCTTCCCCCAGAAATTAGGGTTACAATATGTTTCTTTTATGATTCCAATCCATTCCTCTTTTGCTGTGGCTCAGCATTTAAATAACCTTTATCAGATTTGATGGTTTAGTCACAGACTTTCCTAAAAAGTGTTGTGCTTTTCTTTCACAAATGTGGGAATGAAATTGCGTTAAAATGTACAAAACAGTGAAATTTATCTTGCCTGGCTGGGCAGCTCTCTGGGTGCTCAGCACCCCTAAACCTCTGATCCTAGAATTGCCCCTGACCGTAGGCATCCTTTGGTGCCAACCATGTTATGCTATCTTGACATAAAGGTGGCCAAATAATGCTCCAAATTTACGCTAAAATTTGGCGAGGGAAATATGGTGTATTTAAATATTTCTGCATACTGGGGCCCCTGAACAGTCTTTAAATTGCATGAATTGGGTATGACTGGAAAACTGAGAGTTGACAGCCATATACTCTTTATACTATTTCAGTTCTGCACACAAGTTGTCTAATATTTGATTAATGTAGCCTCAAGATTGAATAAATAAATAAAACATTATTTGTTTACTCCTGATCTTATGATTGAAGTGTTTGATTAGACTTTTCTCTTATTATTCATTTGAGGGCATTTTTTCTACCAAGGACACCCGTGACTACCTCTGCTTTTCAAAATAATAAAATAAGGTGTTCACACAGACTATATAAAAAAGATTCATATTTTGATAAATTTCTATCGGACTGATTTGACCTGCTTTTAAGTATTTGGGAACAAGTCCAAGTCAGCTGAGTTTTATTTATTTGCACATGTTAAAATCCAAGATATGGAAAATAAACATTAATACAGTACAGAATTATGAATGTTTGGGATTTGGGTTTGACAGCTGATTATTCCACAAAACTCATGCTGAACTCAAAAAATAAAAAATTCAGATTGGATTCTGCTGAGACAGAGCTCATGCTGCTTTCACTACCACTTCGTTCTTCCACTTATTCAGCTTCCCTTATTAAATGTTTTACTGAAGAAGACTGGTTTCCAGAAAAATGCACCTCACACTCTAGAAGTCAGAGGCACTCATTCCTCTGAGAGGCTTTACTTGCTTACAGGTCGAGTGTGTAGGATTTAGGGGGATATAATATTCATAACCATGATTTAATTAGTGTATAATCACCTGAAACTAAACATTGTTGTGCTTCATTACCTTAGAATGAGCCATTTATATATTTATATCAGGAGCGGGTCCTCTTCCCTCTTCCATGTCGTTCTCAAGTAGCCCAGCAGACAACCCAAACACTGGCTTTAGTTAGGACCATTCATGTTTTCACATTTTTGCTTCAACCACTCATCAGTGATGTGTTCTGTTACCTTTTCACTCAATGTCACTGAGTCTTAAATACTGGACTTTTAAATTCCTAATCATGTCTGTGATAGTGGGTGATAGTCTACCTCACTCTCTCTTTATACACTCATGACCTTTTCTCTGTCCTGTGCTTGAGTACCAGGGCCCCCTGTTGCTGATTGGCTAGAATAGTGTTTGTGGCTCTGCCTGAGCCACTTTGTTTGTTGAGAAAACTCACAAATTTATTATAAGAGACATGCATATTCTCTGGGATTCTTAACATTTGTGCTAAAAAAAAAATCCTTATTTGTCTGGGATTAAGGTCACATATCTAACCCAAAGCACATACATGCAGGTATATCTGTGGGTGTATATGTGTCAGTGTATGTACATGCTAGTACACAGAGATAGGTTATTGTATTTAATGTGTAAAAATGTGTATAGTATATATATCGACTAAAACCTATTAGTTACTAATTTTTACAATAAGTCAGCCCTCAACTTTTTCTTTTCTTTTTTTTAATAATGTATTAATGAATTCATTTTTTCACTCTCTTTTCTATACTGTGGATGTATTGGTTGTTTATAGCTTTTATATTTTTCTTAATTAATTTTTTCAAATAAGCTGTATATATGAAAACAGGCTTGGAAATAAATAAAGTATATAAAAACACAAATTAAAGTTGTATTGGTGTGACGATGGGTTGACAAGATTACTAGTTAATAGTAAATAGTATTACTAGACGAAAATGGCTTATTGATGCACAGATTTGCATACATTAGTACACAGGTTAAATAAACCCATGGTATTTTACTGAACTGACTTATTGATTTATTGCAGTTGGCTTGAGTCTGGTGTTTCACAGCAGGGGACACTTGGCTATTCCACCTCAGGTTTGGTCACCTGTAAATGCACAAATGTGCACTGATTTATGACTCAGTAGCAAGATATTTGTTAATTGACGGGTATATTGTAAGACTCATGCTAAGACAACTGTAATAGTAAATTGAAATTTTCTGTGTTATGCACAAACTTCCCTCAGCCTGTTTTCCTTCCCCCAGGTATTTAGGCAAAAAATTACCTGGGGGCTCACACACCTATGAGAAGTTCTGGGAAGGTAACAAGCAGAAAGAGGGTAGAGGTAAATGTAAATGTAAACCTAATAAATACCATTAAATATCTTACCTGAAGAAATACATTCTTGGG